AAGACAACTTTCTCGTGTTATTATAGGGCGACACGTAAGGCAGTGTCCGCTTGCACTCACTAGCAAATGCAGCAAACACATGACTTACCGCCATTAACGTGTCGAAACCAATTAAGTAATCTTAGCGCTAACAAAGTATGAAAGCTTGGCTATGAGAGATAGATAGGGACCTTGGAACTGTTATTTACGAGAATGCCATGACCCTCCTGCAAATAAAGCCCATTAAACTTGCGACCACATGATCACATCAGTACACAGACGCTGGCTCTTTACTGACGTAAGCAATGCCAAACTCGCGCATCACATGTCCCTTAAACTGGTTCAGCTCGAATTGCGTCTACCGCCTTCGAAAAGCAAACCAGCACTACTTCCCGCAATTGCATGTTTAACCCTGGCAACCGTCGTTGAGGAGGCCTTCTGATTCTGCCTACAGAAGCCAAAACGACACATATTCTCTTGGGGCCTGAACTTACTAAGCCTGGTCACATCTACATACAGTAGGTAAGGGAAATTAGTGCGGGGAATAGCATACTCTGGGCTTGGAAGAAGTGGCAAACAGAAATTAGTTTTCAGGGGAATACGTTCCCATAGGCGGTGACGTTCGGCTGAAAAAATTATCACGCATATGATGTAGAACATTTCTTCTAACGGTACTAATGAGTGTGCCGTATAAATTACTAGGAAACAATAATTAGGTAGGGGTTGATTTTCGTGACAGCAAATTGAATGGCTGTAAGTTCAGGCTTTTACCTCGTGAAATGCAAACCAAAATGTTGTATTGCGTTTTCGATTCGAAAATATTACAAGGGCATAGTTGTAATATGCATTATCTTACAGCATAATCCCAATATATATGGTTTTTAATGAATCTTATTCTGGCCGTCCTCAAAAATATTCTCAAAAGACGAATACTTAACTAGTATGAATGTTCTCAACTGTGGTAAAAGCCTTTTGTAGAAAAAATACCTGAACAAATCTTTTCTTGTACTTACTTGCTAGTAAATTACATCTCCTTCAGATATTATATCTGTAGAAAGTGTATCTTACGTTTTTTTA